TTCAAATGAAACATCCTAGCAGAGCAAATTTTCTTTGCAACATCCTTCATTTTACTAGTTTTGACTTAAAGAACTCTGCCTAGTTCTCCACCCAGAGATCCTTCTACAGGACTGAGGGACGTGTTTCTCCACCTGCTGGGAGTGCCACAGCAGACACCCTGCAGGTGTCAGGCATCCTTGGGAATCAGCTGACTCACCCAAGGGCAGGTCCCCTTCATGGGGACAGCCTATACCCAGTCACTGATTGACGAAAGAATATAAACTTCATTCCACACTTCAGGACAATTCTGATGGCCATCCCTGTGCCAAGTTCTTCCACAGGATTGGCCAAAGCCTTTGTTGAGACTATGTTACTATCCAGTATCTCTGCCCAGTCCTGATTCCTTTCCTTCTACAAGTTGCTTCCCAGGGCACTCCCTAATAAACACACTGCACTATAATCTCTGTCTCAGAGTCTAGTGGCCCCAGGTAGTACACTGTGGCAACATGGAAATGCCAATGCTTAACTAATGCTCTCTTTTCAGAATCCATGGACACAGGCAATACCTATCAAAATCACGCAAAATAATAGTGTTGTTAGCATAAGTAGCTTTAGAACTTAGATTGCAGCTCCTTGATTTACCATGGTTGTAGCCTTACAGTTCGGTTTATATCTTAGATTACTTCTCTGAAATCTGGCCACAACCCACACCCTGCCCATCACCCTCATTCAATGCTTCCCAATCTTTGTCCTGCCACAAAGTCCTTGAAAATTAATGGGCTGTGCATGGCACCTGCGTAAGAGCATGAGTCTCCTTCTCATGGCTGAAGGCAATTCCTCTGAGGGCCTAGGTCACTGCAGTTACCTGCTTGGTGACTCTAAATCAGGAGGACCCTGAGCATGGGCCATCTGGATGTAGCCTGTGGCACACTGGCTAGAAAATCCTGCCTGAGGCAGAATATCTCTTCCCCTAGGCACCAGCCAAGAGGACAGTCATGCTCTTTCCTCTGACCACAGGTAAGTGGGGACTTAGTTCATCATATTTTCTCTCCAAGGAATGTGGAATTTGGATATAGAGACACCTCTTAGTTGGCACAGGGCGCTTAGACCATGTGAGGCCAGGACTAGCGTGGCCACGCGCATAGCAAGGAAGGGAAAGCTGATCTGGAGGGGATGAGAAAGCAAACACACAGAAAGACCCACACCCGGATGAAAACAGAAACACAGGCTGAAGCACACGAGCTAAGTCTTGGAGCAGTCTTTCTTTTAAATGGGAATATTTAAACCTACAGAAAGGTAGAGAGAATAATACTTACTCATCACCCAGAGCCAGTGATGATCTGCTCATGGCCAATCCTGTTCATCCCTATCCGTGTGGCTTATTTCTCCCTCGCCTTAATTTTTTTTTTTATTATCTCAGATGATACTAGCATTTTACCTTGAAATATTTCAGTATTTATATCCAAAAACGACTAGCACTCTTGAAAAATATAAGCAAATTACCATTATCTCACCTAAAATGTGGCAATAATTCCTTCATATCATAAATTACCCAGCATTTATATTTCTGGAAATGTCTTAAAAATGCTTTAATTATTTTAATTTGTTTAACTGAACCAGGTCCAAATGAAATCATACATTATTTGTTTCTTTGATCTTTATTTTTTTCTTTTCTCTCTTTCCCTCTCCTTGTGTTCCTTCCCCAATGCCTTTTAAGTTATATTTTTTGAAAGGAATAATTTCTTTCCCCTGTGGGGAACTGTAAATGTTACCACTGTCTGATTTGACTTATGGCAGTTCTCTGGTGTCTGTCTCTGTGTTTCCCATGCGTTGGAATTAGATCTGGATACTTGAGAGCTTTTCATTTTAGTGAGTTAGGAGTTCATGGCTCCTGAGACCTTTTGCATGGCCATAGTATCTTTGATGACTTCCTAGCTTTCTAGTATGTCAAGATATTATAGGCTCAATGTTCACACTTCCCCTCCAGACCTAGAAACAACTATTTTCTCTAAGGAGCTCATTTCCTTTGGATGATATTTGGAAGTCATAACCTGGGTGCTAGAGGTCCTATTGAGTTTGGAATAACTTCTGGGTCTTTTCAATAAAAGGAGCTAGGAAAGAAAAAATATATACACATATATTTGAATTGTATGCATGTATATGATGAATAAATATATACTTAGATCAAATCTATAATTAATAATGTATAAAATTCAAATTAAGAGCTGCAGAATTTTTACCTGGCCTCATTGATTTTATACTTGTATCTCTTGCATATATTATTTTCTCATTCCAGAAAAATTGGGAGATGGCTTAAAATTAGACAAACATAATAAGATGTCAGTAGCTAATGTAAGAGCATAACTTCTATTCTATCAAGAATAGAAGTGAGTCAAGCTGTCTGGCAGTGTGTGCCCCGACTCCTGTGTGCATGAGTCTGGAGCCAATTGTAACACTAGCTGAGAGTCTGGGCTGTGGGTTCTTCTCTTCCACCTATTCCTGAGCTTCCTACAGGAGACCTAAGTCTGTGAGTGGGGCACTAGCGGGCACTAAGCTGGGGAAGAATAGCAAGAAAGACATAAGCAGGGAGAGAAAGACTCAAAAGCCAAAACTCAGGGCATCTTGTAGCTCAGGAATGACTTCCTTAAATCTTGGTGAGGACACTCAGAGATCTCTGCTCACCGAGGGGTGAGAGACAGGTGGCAAAGAACAGCTACATGAACATGACATACCACATGCTGGGTATGATGGCTCATTCCAGTAACTTCAGCATTTTCTGAGGGCAAGGTGGGTGGATCTCTTGAGGCCAGGAGTTTACGACCAGCTTGGGCATCATAGCAGGACCCCATCTCTAAAACAAACAAACAAACAAAAAACCCCCCAAAAAACTTTAAATTAGCTGAGCCAGCCTGGGTGACAGAGCAAGACCCTATCTCTAAATACATAAAAAAGGGGGGCATGTGACATAGACAATCATCTTTACTCATCAGACAAATGCAAATCAAAACCACCCTGAGATATCACCTAACCCCAGTAAGATTAGCCTACATCGCAAAATCCCCAACTGCAGATGCTGGTGTGATGTGGAGAGAAGTATAGAGAATCCTCAAAGTACTGAAAGTAGACTTTCCATTTGATCCTGGAATCCCATTACTAGGTATCTACCCATAAGAACAAAAATCATTTTACCACAGAGATATTTACATTAGAATGTTTATTGCAGCTCAATTCATAATTGCCAAGTCATGGAAGCAACTCAAAAAATGCCCATCAACCCATGAGTGGATCAATAAATTGTGGCATATGTATAGCATGGAATACTATTCAGCCATTACAAAAGATTGAGACTTTACATTTTTTGCATCTACCTGGATGGAGTCTAAATACAGACTTCTTAGTAAAGTGTCACAAAGATAGAAAAATAAATATTTAATGTACTCAATCCTAATATGGAACCAATATATGAAGAATTACAGGCTCCTATGACCAATAAACCCCAAATACAATCTAATACAGGAATAGGAGGAGGGGAGAGGGGAAAGAAGGGAGGGGGGAGGACAATTGTCAGAAGGAGGGAGGGCATGTAATGGCATCTCAACTCGTGTATACATAGCAAGGGTGTATAACATGCCCCCTGGGCAAGGGACTCTTTTACTACTGGAATGTTACCCTGTAAGTGAGAACAATGTACTCTAAACATTTGTATCCTCATTTTAATTGAAATAAAAAGGTTAACAAAGTGTGTATCTTTGTCCATATCTAATCTTAAACCAGTGATTCTCATTCATGAGTGGATTAAGAACATGTAGTATATGTACACTGTGGAGTAGTGCTCAGCCATGAAAAAAGGATACAACAATTTGGGTGTAACTGGAGACTACTACCCCAAAGTATCTGAAGAATGGAAAAACAAACACCAAATGTATACTGTATTAGATTGAAACTAACAGATGGGCACACATGTGCATAGAGGGGAGTACAGAGTCAAACTCATTGGAAATCAAGTGGGGGAGGGATGATGGTGAAGGGAGGGGCAAAAATCTACCAAATAGGTCCAGGAAACACTGGGTGATGGGCACACTTAGAGGTGTTACTCAAGCATTACAAAAGCAATCCATGTAACAAAAACACTTGTACCCCATGATTTATTTTTTTTTTTTTGAGACAGAGTCTCACTTTGTCCCCCTTGGTAGCGTGCCCCAGCATCACAGCTCACAGCAACCTCAGACTCTTGGTTCAAGTGATTCTCTTGCCTCACCCTCCCAAGTAGCTGGGACTACAGGCACCTGCCACAATGCCCGGCTATTTTTTTGGTTGCGGTTCTCATTGTTGTTCAACAACAGCCCAGGTCAGGCTGGAACCTACCCGCCTCTGTGTATGTGGCCAGTGCCCTACCTACTGAGCTATGGGTGCTGTCCCCCTGCCCCCATTAATATTTTGAAATAAAAAAGAATGTTTTAAGTTTTATAACTAGTTAAATTTTAAAAAAGTTAATTGTTTCAAAGTAAGACTGAGTACATTGGATACTTTTTCTTCCATTCTTGAGATACTTTGCTAAGAAGAATATGTTCTAGCTCCATCCATGTAAACATGTAAGAGGTAAAGTCTTCATCTTTCTTTAAGGCTACATAATATTCCATGGTGTATATATAGCACAATTTATTCATCCATTCATGGGTTGATGGACACTTGGGCTTCTTCCATGTCTTAGCAATTATGAATTGGGCTGCAATAAACATTCTGGTACATATATCTTTGTTATAATGTGATTTTTGGTCTTCTGGATATATACCTAGTAGAGGAATGGTGGTAATGAATGGCAAGTCTATTTCTAGATCTCTAAGTGTTCTCCAAATATCTTTCCAAAAGGAACATATTAGTTTGCATTCCCACCAACAGTGTAGAAGTGTTCCCTTTTCTTCACATCCACACCAACATCTCTGGTTTGGGGATTTTGTCATGTGGGCTAATATTACTGGACTTAGATGATATCTCAAAGCAATTTTGATTTGTATTTCTCTGATGATTAAGGATGATGACAATTTTTTCATGTGTCTGTAGGCTGTGTGCTTGTCTTCTTCAGAAAAGTTTCTCTTCAAGTCCCTTGTCCACCCTGAGATGGGATCACTTGTTCTCTTCTTGCTAATATGTTTGAGTTCTCTGTGGATTCTGCTTATTAAACCTTGTCAGAGACATAACCTGCAAATATCTTCTCCCATTCTAAGGGCTGTCTGCTTGCTTTACTTACTGTGTCTTATGAAAGCTATAACCCAATTATAGCCCATAAGAAGGGGAAAGGGTAGAGGGAGAGGAGGGGAGGGGGGAGGATGGGTGGAGGGAGAGTAATTGGTGGGACCACACCTACGGTGCATCTTACAAGGGCACATGTGAAATTTACTAGGTGTAGAATATAAATGTCTTAACACAATAGCTAAGGAAATGTCGTGAAGGCTATGTTAACCAGTTTGATGAAAACATTTAATGGTATATAAAACCCTAGCACATTGTACACCATGATTGCATTAATGTACACAGCTATGATTTAATAAAAAAAAATAAAAAATAAAAAAAGTTAATTGTTAAATTATCACCTATTGATTCTACATGCTAGAATTACCAAAAGGTAATTTCCCTTGGACTATGCTATGTTACTAATGCAAAGAAAACAATATCAAACAAAAAGTTTTAAAATTAAAAAAAAACAACAATGGGCTGGCACCATGGCTCATCCTTGTAATACTAGCACTCTGGGAGGCTGAGGCAGGAGGATCCCTTAGTACAGGAGCTTGAGACTAGATCAGTTTGAGCAAGAATGAGACCCTGTCTTGACTAAAAATGAGAAAAATTAGCTAGGCATTTTGGTGGGCATCTGTAGTCCAAACTACTTGGCAGGTTGAGTCAGGAAGATCAATTGAATCTAGGAGTTTGAGATTGCTGTGAGCTAGACTGACACTATGGCACTCTAGCCTGTCTCAAAAAAAAAAAAAAAAGGTAGCAAGAAAAATGTAAACCAAAATTATTCTTCTCCTATATTAAGTTTTGGAAATTATAGTTATTTTTTAAAATGTGATTTATGTTAATGTGTAATGTATTTATTATTGTTGGCTTGGAACTTGTAGCTCAGCAACTAGGGCACCAGCCACATACACCAAGGTTGGAGGATTCGAATCCAACCTGGGCCTGCTAATCAACAATGACAACAACAACAAAAACCAAACAACAACAAAAAATAACCAGGCATTGTGGCGGGCTCCTGTAGTCCCAGCTACTTAGGAGGCTAGGAGGCTGAGGAAAGAGAATCACTTAAGCCCAAAGAGTTTGAAGTTGCTGTGAGCTGTGACGCCTGGGCACTCTACCCAGGGTGACATAGTGAGACTCTGTCTCAAAACAAAATTTTTATTATTGTTAATTCTAAATATAAGAACAAATTTTCAATTTTAATTTCTAGTATGGTGA